AAGTTTGAGTGTTAGATTGTATGTATGTATGTATGTATGTATGTATGTATGTATGTATGTATGTATGTATGTATGTATGTATGTATGTATGTATGTATGTATGTATGTATGTATGTATGTATGTATGTATGTATGTATGTATGTATGTATGTATGTATGTATGTATGTATGTATGTATGTATGTATGTATGTATGTATGTATGTATGTATGTATATATGTAAGTATGTATGCTCGTTTGTTTGTTCGTTAGTATGTGTGCATGTGTGCGTGTCTTAACATAAACAAGTGAATTCAAAATGTTGGATTGAGTTTCAAAAAAGTTTTAAATCCATAACCGTACGAGAAGAAATATTCATTTCAAAATATAATTTTTGGTTAGGCTTAAGAAGTTGTTTAAAAATAAAAAATTTATGTTTATATATAAACAAGTGGATGAAAATAAAAGAAAATGAACCGAAATATGACTAAAGAAGTCTCTAAACCATTCCAGAAAATCCGAGAGCCGTTCTGGAAATAGAAAGAAAAGTGCATTGTTGAGTTAAATAACAAAAACATATCCAGTAACAAGAATGGTTGAACGGATGGATGAATGAACGGATAAGTAGATGAGTGGATAGATGAATGACTGAATGACTGAATGACTGAATGACTGAATGAATGAATGAATGAATGAATGAATGAATGAATGAATGAATGAATGAATGAATGAATGAATGAATGAATGAATGAATGAATGAATGAATGAATGAATGAATGATTGAATACACATTTCTACTTTACAAACATGTACATTTTCCTACCGACAGACAACTACTCCGTTAGCAAAACTTTTTTGTCCTGATTCTTCAAAATTGAAAAAATTTATTTTGCGGTGTTTGATGAAAAATGTTTTAATTTTTTTATGCTTTTTTCTCACCTTTTGTCTCTTTTTACTCTCACTCTCTCCCTCCTTTTATCTTTCTCTTTCCATCTTACTTTTTTTCGTCATCTTCCACTTCTTATTCTTTTTTTTGTATATCTCATCTCATCTCTTTCCTTTTCTTTTTCTATCTCTATCGTTCTCTCTCTCTTTCTCTGTTTCTAAATATACATATAATCTTTCTTTTTTCTCTCTCTTCCTCTCTTTCTCTCTTTCTGTCATGCATACTTTTCCAATATATCAATGATAATTTTTTCTTTCTGTTCCTCCGCCTTGCCCTAATTGGTCCCAGGATAATTTGCGCTGTGTTTCTCAATCCTACAGACCATAAAATACAAACACTTCCATACAAATTTTTCAGACAAAGCACACAAAACTAATTTTACAAAACATACAAAGCAAAACATACAAAACAAAACGTTAAAAAATACAAAACAGTCACATAATCAGCAAAACGTAAATAGGAAAAAAAAATTCAAACTGCGCACGGAGCAAGCTTTAGAAAATAAATTGAAAAAATTAGAATTTTGGCGGGAAAATAAATGAATGACTTCCTCTTCCTTTGTTTGAGTGTTTAAACTGATAATAACAAACCACAAACAAACACAGACAAGATTAGAAACAAAAAAAAGAAAAACAAAACGAAAACAAAGAACAGAAAATAAAATTAATTTGAATGGAAGACTACTGAGAAAAACAAAGAAGACAACTATGATTTAGTAGTTTAAGCAATAAAAAAGATTACAAAAATCAATGCAGGCAACAACATCTACAACATCAACAACAATAACATCAACAATAACATCAACATCAACAACAACAACAACATCAACAACAACAACAACATTCACGCACACACACACACACACACACACATATATATATATATATATATAATACTCACAC